GATAAATATACAGGTGACAGAGTCAGAATATATTTTAAGGAGCTTGTCATGCTCCAAGATAGTGGGGACAGATTCCGGGATCATACTGCCTAGGAAATTGAACTACTCTTCTGCTACAACCCAGGGGGATGGAGTCCAGGAATATTGTCCAAGAATTCCCTTTTCAGGCCATGGAGGTAAACATGTCTGATTCTTTTGTTGTGTGCATCTTCAGGAACTCTTAGTACAATCTCTTTGGCTGAGAAAGTCCATCCTCAGGCATTCTCTCCTTAGACCATGTCCACTTAAGCCTTCTGTTTCTGCAACCACTTGTAATTATGCTGCAAAGGTGCTATTTGGTGGCAGGAAAGGGTGAAATCCTCTCCCCATTTCTTCAGCATTCCAAAGGAATGGTAGTAGGAAAAAGACCAAAATGTGAAATACGAGGATGAAATAGGCACAAAAGCATGCATTAGTGAAGACTTGAATCATGGCACAGCAACCTGGAATCCCCATTACACTTCCTGGAAGGTGGATACTTAAAACATAAAACATAAAATATTTAGCGAGACAGCTGAAAATACATTTCACCTCCATCCCCACTCTGTACTGTCTCCCAAAAAAAATTGTTGTAGTAACTAAGGAAGCCCCTCCTGCTGCGTAGCTGGCACTGACTAGGAACCAAGGAGTTCCTGGCCTCTCACATGCATGAGGTTGCCTCCCAGGCTGGAAACATCTATCTCAGGATCACTCTTCTCTGACCTACATAAAAGTGGGGGAAGAATACAAAAGCAAAACGAGAATGAAGGGCCTTGAGTTTCCTATTTGGGTTCACCCGGACAAGTCTATCCCCCAGGTGCCAAGTGTGAGCAATCACCACAGCTACTGAGTTGGATAGAGAGGGAAATAAAAATCAAGACATTAGTTAACGGAATTCATCAGTGTGTGTAAAAGGACACTGCTTAACACCTTGTCAGCAAATATACAAGGAACCTTCCGCTCTCAAGGTCTTCATACACATACACAGTTGATGTTCTGTGTGTGTGTGTGGTGTGTGTGTGTGTGTGTTTAATTTTTCCTGAGTCTTAACTATAATTACTTATTCCTGATCCATGAGAATTACCTGTTTCTCCAAATATCATCTTCCTTCATCACATTGTCTTAAAACATCACATTGTCACCATAATTAGCATCATCTACATCAATACAATTCACCATTTTTAATCCTTTCAGGTTTATGCTATAATTTCAAGAATGATGTAGACTAAAGATCATAAGTGTTATTGCCCCAGGTCAGGATATTATAGAGGACCCGTATCTTATTAAAGAGCATTGTAGCAAATCCGCAATATTGGCAGTGGAACAGGTAAAAGGCTATGTCTGTGGGTAGTTCCTGAGAACAGACCTGAGCCCATTTTGGCTGAGAATTACCATCCTCAGTCATCTCAGAACAAGAAGCCAGAAAATGCCCTAAACAAAGAAAGGCATTTTTGTCATTGAATGACAGTCAACAGATTGCTCTGTTATGGGCCGTGAAAGAGGGAAAGCAGGGCCTTGTGTCAGCTACTCTCTGATCAAATTCAAAGGAGACAGTTGTTCTCCTAACTGCATCTTCTCCACAGACTAATAACATCATTGGCCTCTCAGGAAGTGATTCCTGTGCCTTTCAAGAATGATAATAAGAAAAACTGGAATGCCCAGAGGCAGAAATCACAATCTCAAATGAGGGGAGCTAAGAGCATGTATCCCCTAGGGAAGTTGTTTTCATATGGTTTAATAATAGCTAGCATTTATATAGCACTTGCAGGTTTGCAAAGCACTTTATAAATATCACCTCATTTCATCCTCACAACAGCCCTGGGAGGTGGTGTTATTATTACTCCCACCTTGCAGACTGAGGAAGCGAGGCAGGCAGAAGTTAAGTGGCTTGCCTAGGGGTGCACAGCCAATAAATGTCTGAGGGAAAATTTGAACTAGGCTTTTCCTGACTTCCTGATTCCAGTGCTCCATCTTATGTCACCGGACATTCTGATTTTATTCCTTTTGATTCTACGGAAACTGTGTGCAATCAAACATCCTAGTGTGGTTATCTCCATCATGCCATGCTATTGTAATTAAGATCCTATTAAACATAGGACAGAAGGAGGAGGGTAGAGTTGCCCTCAGTGGAGGGGTGGGGAGCCTGGCATCAAACTAGAATTTAATTGGATAAAGCTACACAATCCACATTCCTAGACTAAAGAGTCAGTACCACCACCCTGAAAAGGGGAGGAGTTGTAGCGCAAAGGTAGCAGCTCTCCGTGAACTATAAGGTGCTTAGCATTTCCCCTGATCCTCTCCTGGCATTAGATGAGGTGTACAACTGCCAGGATGGTTGGGACTGCCCAGTGTCCCATTCTCATTGTCAAACAGGACCAAGCTAGTGCCCAACAGTGCACGCTCATACACACACACACACACACACACACACACCAGGGGGTTTAAATGTGCATTCTCTCATTTGGTTCTCACAATAACCATAGCATCGTAGACTCCTAAGGGTCCATAAAAGTCACCTACTCCATTATCCTCATCTTACATTCATGGACACTAAGGCCTTGCTCATAGACACATAGATAGCAAAAGGCAGAGCTAGAATGCAAACCCATTACTTTGTTCCCAAGTCTAGAGCTATTTCCACTACAGTGCACTACATCCACAATGAGCCAGGAGGCACAAGTATTATAATTTTTATTTTAGAGATAGGGAAATTGGATCTGAGAGAGGTTACTTACAAAGATCCCACAGCTAGCAACAGAAGCCAAACAAAGCATTTGCATGTGGTATTCAAGACTGGAAAATTGTCTCTCTTCCCACCGCCCCCTGTGTCATCTACCTCTGGGGGGTCTAATGCACAGACATCTATGTTTCATGGAGGAGAAAATTCCTGTCATTAAAAAGGCACCTTTTAAAAGCACAATATAAAAAAAATCCTTTGTTGTGCCCCCCCGACACACACACACACCCCAAGCCCATTCCTAATCCTGGCCCTGGGTAGAAAAATCAGTACTCAGACTTTCATTTTTTCATTTCAAGAAAACGCACAAGTATTTTCTGTTAACCCATCAAAAAGTATTTTTACTAGGTGCCTACTATGTGTCAGGCATTGTGCCAGGCTATGGTGAATGAGGCAACCCTTATTCACAAGGAGCATATACTGCCCCTGATTAATTAACTGTGCAATATATTTTCAACAGAAGTTATAATGTACAGATGGTCTTATCACATAATTTTAGGTTCTAGTTTAGAGATGATTCATACTGATGCAACTGTTCCCTGGAAGAAGTTTAAACTGGGTGCTGAATACTGACCCATTTCATAAAAAATGTCACTTCTGCAATCTGTCACTCAACATATGAAGGAAACCATGAGGCTTTATTTTTTTTCTAAAGAATTCACTAATCTGTAATAGACTTTTATTAAGCATCTACTGTGTACAGATCACTTTGCTAGGACTGAGATGAGATTTTTTTTAAAAAGTTAAGTGAAACAGAGGATCATGCATTTAAACCTGGAAGGTACCTTAGAGGTCCCATCATTCTGTCCTCTTGTTGTTGTTCAGGACTTTTCAGTTGTATCTGACTTTTCATGACTCTATTTGGAGTTTTCTTGGCAAGGAGTACCTTGTCACTTCCTTCTCCAGCTCATATGAGGAAACTGAGGCAAGCAGAGTTAAATGACTTGCCCAGAATCACACAGTTAGTAAGTGGCTGAGGCCAGATTTGAACTTCATGAAGATGAGTGTCTTCCTGACTCCAGGCCTAGCATTCTATCCAATATGCCACCTAACTGTCTATTCAATCCTCTAGTTTAAAAAAAAAATGATAATAAAAGAGCAGGCTTCCTTGCAAGATGGTGGCTGTGAAGGAGTTTCTGAACACCAGGGACACAGCAAGGGAAAACAGGGACCTCAGGCACCTGCGCATCCTGAGGTGGTGTTCATGGAAGGTGTAGATTCTTTTATGGAACAGCCTGGAAATGAGTCTGCAACTATTGTACTCAAGAAATTATGTTAGAAGTATGTTTATGGAACTTAACCTCAGAAGAAAAGAAGGCTAAAAAGTCAAGTTCCTGAAATCAGACAGACGTTACACATTTTAAAATGTGTGCAGAAGAAAAAAGAAACCACAAAGCCCCTGGAGACTAGATTCTTACTGGCTGATAACCTTTACTACAAAGCTTCTGTTCCTCCTGTGGATAAAGTCTGCCTGCATTTGAGGGCCAACATGATGCTTGACACTGATGAAGCTCAGGCCTTCTTGGAGAAGAACCACTGCATCACCACCAGCAATCTGGAATCTCTCCAGGAAGACCAGGACTTCCTTCATGGTCAGTTGACCACCACAGAAATCAGTATGGCTCAGGTTTACAACTGGGATGTCAAGAGAAGAAACCAAGATGAGCCCACAAAAGCCAAAGTATAGTGTTCCCACCCTTGATCCTGGGGCTCAGGCTTCCCAAGGGGCTTGGCGCACTTCAAAGATCCAAATATTGACTTGGGAGTAATCATTTTTCAAATAAAAAAAGACATTCTAGAGTAAAACTGAAGCCAATAATGAACACACATTCTGTATGTAAAACTAAAGTCTGATCTCATTTAGATTTCATGAAACTATTACAGTTGTTCAGGGTCACACTGGGGTTGGACTCAGTTATCCCCAAGGTTAGCTTTGATGCTCTGGATCTTTGGGCCATGTGTGAAATGCACTGTTGGGCATTTGTGGGAACCAGAGGGGTGCTGGGATGGAGGAGGGAAGTTGCTTTTTTGGTTTTTTTTTATCGTAGGTTACCTTTGAACAAGTGAAGTCACTGTAGAGGTTGGGGAAATCTTACAAACCTGTAGTTCTGGGTTAAACCAGTGTACTCTAAGTTTGGTACTTCACAAATTTATTTTTTTCTCATGTCTATTTGATTAGTTACTAGTCAATTTACTGAATGTCTTGCACTTTTTCATGAATTGCTTTATCTGCCTTTATAAACAGGACATGGAATACATCTGAACAGTGATGGTTTGTTGAGGTGGCACCTTCTTCCCCATTTGCTGAATGCCCTCTGCTCACGCCCTTCATATCTCTTGGTTAAATCTGAGTTGAACATCCCAACACTTCCTTGTAGAAGACATCTTAAGAGAGAAAACAAAATTAAATGGTGATTTCTTTCAAAGGAAGGCTGCAAGCTGTTCTGACTTAAAAAGCCAACACGACAGCAGCTTATAAAGACACTGCTGCCACGCTGTGCAGTTCAATCTCAATATCTTCTTCCACTTTCAAGAAGTGAGCAATACACTAAGAATGGTTTGATACTTTTATTTTTTTAACATTAGAACAATGAAATTAAACATGTGGCAAAGGACTACTCCAATTTATAAAAAGAATTAAGTTCCAGAGAGATTATTTACTCGCCCACAATTTTACAGTTAGTTAGAAACAGAGCTGGAATTTGAGGCTCAGGGGTTTTTTTGTTGTTTTGTTTTATTCTAAATGCAGCATTCTTTCCATTCCATTATATTACCTTTCAGGTTCTAGTCCCTGAAAGAGCTTATAAGGATCAGTGAAAGGAGGGACAGGAGAAGTATTCAGGTCTGTGGTGCACACTAAATAAATACAGTAAAAACCAATGCGTGTAGTATATCGAATCAGAAGGCCCAATCTGAATCGTAGCTCCAGCACCTACTAACAGTGGGACTTGTGGCGAATCACTGAGTATTAGAAAGATTATACTTCCTCATCTGCAAAATTCTCCGCTCAGTACATAAGAGGAATCCTGCAGAATTTGATTCTCTGATTTAGTTCATTGACCAAAATCCATATATCACATGCAATTGACTTTTTTTTCAAATACAGTTACATGGCTAAACCTCTCCAATGCTCTGATCATGCAGTTATTTTTATTATAATTATCAATGTCTTGATTTATCCCTGCTCCAAAATGGTAAACTACTTGAGGTCAGAAGCAATCTTATTTGTGCACATATATCCCCTCAGCACAAAACAGTGCCTTGTATAGAGAAAGAACATAATAAATATTCTTTGCCTCAAACTGACAATGCTACAGGCTAGGTAGAAGGGGTTTGCCTTTCAGATGAGAGGCTACATTCAGAGCATCTTTCTCCATTCATTGCTTTTTGAGCTTAGGGGTAAGTATGATTTGCTGATAACCCACAAAAGCTGCCTAAGATCCTGATTGTGACAGCCATAGAAGCCTGTTCTCACAGCAGTACATCAAGTTGAAAAATAGTTAACCCTGGAACATCTAAGTATGGCAGATCTGAATTAGATTCAGCCAGGAAACAGGAAGTATAAACCCACACCTCTGAGCGTAGGTGTAGCTAAATAGAGGTAGCCTTTCTACACTGTGGGGAGGTAAAGACTACCCATCGGCTGTCAAATCACTTACTGTACATCATCTGACACTCCAAATATAATTGCTGTAAAATGCAGAGGTTGGTCTGGGTGAACACTAAGGTCCTTTCCTCAGACTAGCTGGCCTCTATTTACATAGATCTATATTGGTTGCTATCATACTTTTACATGTAGTATCTCATTTGATTTTCACGACAGCCTTACAAAAAAGATAGTACAAACATGATCATTATGTCCATTTTAGAGATGAAAAAGGGGAATTAGAGAATCACAAGATTGTCAGATTTCAAAGTTAGAAGGGAGTTTAGTTGGAAAACACTCTCTACTCATCTCTACCTCTTAATTCTCCTGGCTTCTTTCAAGCTAAAGTCTCACTTTCTTCAAGAAGCCTCTTTCAGTCCTCTCTAATCTTATTGCCTTCCCTTTGAGACTGTTGTTCAGTTGTTTCAGTCGTGTTCAGCTCTTCTATCAAGATATCTATCTATCTATCTATCTATCTATCTATCTATCTATCTATCTATCTATCTGCCTGTCTGTGGATCCATTTAATCTATCTACCTACCTACCTATCTATCTATTTCATCTCTCTATCTCTTTATGTGTCCATTTTTCTCTTTATCTGTCTACCTGTCTATCTATCTATCTATCTATCTATCTATCTATCTATCTATCTATCTATCTAACTAATCTAATCTATCACTTATCTATTTCTATCTCTCTGTATTATGTTTTAATGACTAAAGTCTTCAACTCCTTTACTACAGAATAGCCTTTCCATTGTGGCTTTAGATTTCTATAAGGCTTGAAAGCCCCAGTGATTTGAATGTCGAAGATAGAAGTCAGGGGCCAACACTTGTCTATTTCCCACATCAGAAATCATAAATAGTAAACCATTTCCAAAAGATCAGTGTAAGTAGTTGACAGGTATGTTTGCATAAAAACGTGATCTTCAAGATTGATACTTGCTACAGAAGGGCACAGAGGCCAAGAAAGTGGGTAGGGGATCTCACTTCACTGTAGCAATCTGTCATCAGATGACTGACTTATAACTACCTCTTTCTGGGATGTTTTCACAAGTTATTCAAGGACACAGAGATCAAAAAAACTTATAGTTGTCTCAGGCTGTCATGAGGATGAGGGCATAAGATTTGTTATGTTGACCTCAGAAGACAAGAAAGGCAAAGGTGTCGTTGTTTTGTATTGGGAAGAGTAATGGATTTGAAGTCAGAAGACCTAACAATCCAACATGGCCCTCGGTCTATGCGGCCCCCTTTACTTTTGTGGTGATGGTGGCAAAGCAGAAGCAAAGTGATAAAGGGGAGCTAAGAATCATAGTTTTAGGACATCTACAGACATGAATTTGATAGTATTTAACAATGATAATTTATGTGGAATTTTGAGGTTTGCAAATACCTTTTGCTCCAGATTGTAATTCTTCCTTTGTTCTCAAAGATTTTATCTCTATTATCTTTATAACCTATATTATCTCCCAATAACATCACAAGGGTGATGTCTTGCCTTGCTCATGAATTGGATTTAAGTGAGGCAGAGCTGAACAAAATCTTTCCTCCTGAGTCATCAGAGTCCAAGGGCAAGACAAAAGTCAACCGGCAATGGCCAGCTTCCAGAAACACTGTGAGGTGGGTGGTTTTTAGGGTTTTTGTTTTGTTTAGCTTGTTTTGACAGATCAGTCAATAAATAAAAATACATATTAAGTGCCTATTATGTGCAGGGCGCTATACTAAGCACTAGGAATACAAATCCAAAAAATGGAAGAAGGCATGCGCTCAAGGAGCTTACAATCTAATGAATGAAAAAAATTACAAGAAAGGAAGTTGAAAAGGGGAGGGGGCCCCGGGCATAGGGGGCCAGAGGGAGAAATCCAAAGGAGTGAATCTGGGTGGGAAATGGAAAGATGACTGCCCTAGGTGCCCTGCTTAGAGGTTTGGGGAGAGGCTATGGATGAAGTGCTAGTAGCAAGGTTGATGTGACCTGGCAGGATGATGAGGTTCCTAGTGGTTGGAGGAGTCTGAACAACGATAGCTGGGTGGAAAATGAACTTGTCTCATCAGTGAAAGGCATTCCCGGTAAAGCAACTCCCACTGCCATTTCAGATCAGCAACTGTTCTGCAACTTAGGGTCTTTAAAAGTTGCCTTGGATACACAAAGATTAAGTGACTTACTCAGGGTCATATAGCCAGAATGTACCATGCATATAACTTGGCCTCAGTTTGTCCCAACTCTCGGGTTAGTAACTGCTTGTCAAGGTAGAGAGGACCTCAATTTTACAGAAGAGAAAGTTGAAGAAGTATAGGAAAGATAAGCAACTTGCCTTAGCTCACATATCTAATAAGTTTCTGAGCTAGAAACGAGATAGTCTCCTGACCTCACTATGCTGTATTGCCTCCTGCTTGATGGGAGATCTTTGCCTAATCACCAATGAGGAGAGAATCTCGGCTCAGCATAGTGGGAATTCCTACCATCAAGGCATTTTCCCAATAATGAATTTTTGAGTCAAAGAGTACAGTTATTTTAAAATATCTTCACTATTATGAACCTAATCATTAACAAAAATGAACATCACAATACATAAAAACCAAAAAAGTGATTGTGTATAAAACTGTGAACTTTTGAATACAGTTTTTAAAATAATATATTAACCTTAACATGGTCATAACAAAATTGCCTAGTTGATCTGATCCTTGTAAAACCCTGTGATGTAGGTGCTGTTCTTGTCCCCATTTACAGAGAAGGAAACTGAAGCTTAGAGGATCCAAGTAACTTGAACAGGGTCATGTAGCTAGTACGTAACAAAGGCAGAATTTAATTCATGTCTTCCTAACTCTAGGTCAAGCACTCTATCTCTTGCACCACCTAGTTCCCTCAAACACATATAATGTTTGAAAGCTTGCAAAGTACATCATATAGATAGGGATGGGGAACCTGAAGACTTGAGGGCATATGTGACCTTCTAGGTCCTTGGGTGCAGCCTTTTGATTGAATCCAAATTTTATAGAGCAAGTCATTTTATTAGGGAGATTTGTTCTGTGAAGTTTGGATTCAGTGAAAGGGCCACACTTAAGGCTGCAGTTTCCCCACCCCTGAACGCATCATCTCAAGTGATCCTATTCACATTACTTCCTACATTTAGAAGTAACTGCCCTATAAATGACTGATCTTATGATAAACCAATTATCATACTCAGAGAGAAAAAAAATAATAGGCCACATTCAGAGAATTTACATATCCCAAAAAGGTATGCTGAAAGATATTCTCTGAAGCTGGATGCTACAGACAAGATATTCCTTGGGTCTGAGCCCTCAGTTGGATCTTCACCAGCTATGAGGGCAGCACAGAGGCAACTAATGTTAGCCAATGTATGTTCTGGGGACTAGGTGGGGGGGTGGAAGCTCCCCATATGGATGGAAGGGATTGAACATCACAGATTGGGCAACAGCACCAAAATGGCTCTCCACCAGCTAAAGTAAAGAGGTCTTAGATCAGCTAGTGGGGGGTGGAAGATGATAACTGCCAGATGGCTCATGGTTATTGCAGCAGCCAAGAAAACATGGTATCATTCCAGATTGCATATTATCACCAAAAGATGGTTCTCCACCATCCATCCATGTAGCAAAAAGGTCTAAAAACTCAGATTAGCATCTGGGAGTGGGGGGGTTGACCACTCCCAGATGGCTTATGGTGATTATAGCATGAAAAGTAGGTTTCTAGCTTTCCCTTTTTATACAGAAAAAAATCAATCTTTGACATGTCACAGATGACTCAGCCTGTTTTCAGGGATTTTAAAGCAGTGATTGGCCAGATGGGATCATGGATATATGATAAGAATACCCTCAGAAATCTATTATCTATAGCCCCAGGAAATAGGGTACTTACCAAAAAACAAAACAAAACAAAACAAAACAAACAAGCCAACAACCCTGTTTCATTCAGGTTGAGATGATCATTATCATAATTTTTGGAACATAGGGAAAGAAAGCAGCAGTTTAGG